TTAAAGATGTGGGATACAATTCAGGGTTAGGTATACAAATGTTCATTATGCAGGTACTCTTATCTTGCTCTTAAGGTTATTTCTATTTAATATATTTGCATGGTAGAAAAACTATGTAATGGTGTGATGCTGCACATCACTCTCCAAGTTCAGCGACTTCACAGTGATGGCTTGAAATTAGCCATGGTGGAGAGTATTTACACCAAATAATCAGTCATGGTGGGGAGTATTTGCATTACTCTCTCCAAGTTCAGTGACTTCACAGTGGAGGCTTGAAATCAGTCATGGAGGGAGTATTTACACCACAAAAATTGGCAAGTCATGCACATCAGAGCTATTTTCCCAGAAAACAGAATTGTTAAATACTTATCAACATACCTTTGCCTGACATCTCTGTGTTATATTGAATTTGGGGACAGTAAGGAGAAAAGTAGCATCACAGCCGAGGGAACCCAGTAATACGTTCATCCTACCACATATCTCATCTAGCCTTGAGACTCAGAAAATGATTCATTTAGCACAGTCCCTTGTGTCTACACAACACCTTTTTAATATTAGCTGGACTTGTGCAAAAGACTTCCAGCGTAGGCCTCTCCCAAACTGGGCTTCAATTCTCACCTTTCCTCTTTCATACACACAGGCTCTAGCCATATCAAATGTCCTTCATTCCCCTCAAATATCCCATGCCCGGATATCACAAACTCAAAAGCCTGCAGGAGCTATGCTGTAATAACCATGTGTGGGCAGAGTGACCACTCTGTGTGGCTCTGAGGAGGGGCAGGTGTTCTCTGCCCTCTTTGTGGCTCTGAGGAGGGGCAGGTGTTCTCTGCTCTCCACGAGTGTCACTGTGGATACTCACTCACTTTGCTGGCATCCCTCGTCAAGTATGGAGCAGTCACTCATGGCTTTGCTACTTCGGACTTTCGAGGAAGCCTCTTAAGCACAACATGGAAAACCCAAATGTGAGGGTCATTCTCCCCAAGACCTTCAACCAATGGGTGAAAGGAGTTGGCAGATCCCATTCCCAGCAGCCTTCTCTTCTGGTGGGATAATTCTGAGGCATGTTCTAAGCTATTCCTTGGAGATACCCCAGTGGACTTGAGCTCCGGTTGCCTACATGCTAACCAGCTCGTTAGCTTACCTTTCACTGATCTCACTTTCTCCACTCTAATTCTGCTTCCTGAAATGACCTCACAGATAAGCTTCCTGTGCCCAGGTCCTTGTCTCAGGGAACACAAACAGTCATCACTTTGAACAAGGCTCTTACCTCTCAGTCTTCACCCAGGCTGGTTCTTCTGTCCTAGACCCTTCACCTAAATCCCACCTATTCTTCACAAAACTGCTTAAAAATCAGTTCCTTTGGAAGTCCTCTCTGTCCCTTTCTTTCTTCTAACGCAGAGGTGGGTTTCAATTCCAACACTTACTACAGTTGTAAACTGCAAGCTCCAAAAGAGAAGGAACTGTAGCTTTCTTGCTGTCCGTTGCATTCTCAGTACTGTGTACAACGGCTAACACAGTGTTTTAGGAGTATTTAGTCAATGAATTAAATGATATGGAAATAGTAAATTACTACTACAAAGAACTTTAGGCTCTCTGAAGTTTTAACACTAATATATACATTGGATCCTCTGAAAGACACTGTTCTCATTAGTTTATAGATGAGGAAATGGGAGTTCAGAAAATTGCCATGATTAGACCAGACTTGAACTCATAGGATACTTTCTACGGTACCTAGCTCCCTCACACCTTGAGGCTTCACACCCAACAATAAAGTGACTAATGGGGTAGTGAAAGCCATGAGGTTAATGATTTCCCCACAGTGGTCTACCAGAACCCAAGCAAATCTCCTGGAGGGGAGAAAAGTAGGTCAACTAGGCTTAACTTACAATTAAGCAGTTACCTTTTAATGTCTCTTAGGTACATTTAAAGAGCACAAACTTAAATCCACAGAAGACTTAAAATAAGTGCTTATTGTTTTAAATTTCAGATATTGTATTTTGTATCTCTAAAGGCCATTTTTGGATCTTTTTTATTTTCTATTTTTTAAAAAATTTTATTTCAAAGATGTGGGGCACAATTCAGGGTTAGGTATACAAATGTTCATTATGCAGGTACCCTTGTTGATGAGGTGCGCCCTCCCTCCCCTGGCAGTTTCCCTCAACTGTCAATCCCATCCTCCTCCCTGGGCAGTTTCTCACTACTGCCAATCCCTTTCTTATAGTATTATGATAATTGTTCAAGGTCCGCTTATGAGTGAGAACATACGGTACTCTGTTCTTTGTTTCTGATAGATCACTGAGTATGATAGACTCTAAATCCATCCAAGTTGCAGTAAACTTCATGTATTTATCCTTCTTTATGGCTGCATGATATTCCATTGTGTATATGTACCACTTTTTTTAATCCAGTCCAGCTTCGATGGGCAGCATAGTTGATTCCATGTTTTTGCTATTGTGAACAAAGCTGCAACAAACATGCATGTGCAAGTATCTTTTTGGTAGAATGACTAGAGTTTCTGGGTATATTCCCAATTGGGGGGGGGGTCAATTTCTAGTTCTTTCAGAAATCAACTTTTCAGACCATGCCTCTACTTCCCTCTGCCTTCTTGAACACATGGAGAATGTTTATAATTGCTGTTTTCACATCTATTCTGCCATGTCTCACTTCTGAGTCTGGCTTTCCTTTTTTTTGTTTTTAAAATTAAAAACTTAAAGATTACTAAAATCTCCTCTTGGGGTAATTAGTAATCTTGAAAGTTGCTCTAAGTTATTAGTAGGGTATTAGAAAATAAGATCTTTGGAAAGGGATCCAAATATACTTAATTCAATAGTACTCGGTGCTACATAAAATTAGAGATGACATGTAAGAAAACTTTAATGAGAATTAAATCTCTCACGTCAACATATACATCAGACACAAACCATAATTTACCATGCACCGAGTTCTTACTGTATTTCTAAAGAGAATGTTAAAAATAAGCCAAAAGTTTGAGTCTGAATTAGACATTAGTGACTGAATACAACTGCGTTTCACAACTATTTATTTAGATAGCCTAGACATTAAAACAAGGACCCAGATTTACTCATAGAGTCTTTTTTTACACGTAAAAAATACTATAAATCAACTGCTTCAATTTTAGAAGCAACATATGGACATAGCTTTTAAAATGCATTAAAATTTTTAAAAGTGCACATGCAGCTTAAACTTTTTTTTTTTTTTTTGAGTTGAAGTCTTACTCTGCCCCCCGGGCTGGAGTGCAGTGGCACACTCATGGTCACCCCAGCGTTGACCTGCTGGGCTCCAGCGATCCTTCCACCTCAGCCTTTCAAGTAGCCAGAACTACAGGTGAACGCTACCACGCCAGGCTAGTTTTTTGATTTATTGTAGAGACGATGTCTCACCAAGTTGCCCCGGCGGGTCTCAAACACACGGGCTCAGGAAATCTACTCCCCTCGGCTTCCCAAAGTGCTGGGATTACATGCTGAGTCACCGAGCCTGGTCAACTTTGTTTTTAAAGCACTTTGTTTAAAGTTTTCGTCAATCTCTGCTATACAGACTAGAAAACTGAAGCTGGATGAAGCTAAGACTTGAATCTAGAGGTCCTGAGTAATTCCATAGTCAATATTTTCACCAAGTTACAACTAAAATCTAGCTGACAACTTGGATGGATTTAGAGTCTATCATACGCAGTGATCTATCACAGAAACAAAGAACAGAGTACCACATGTTCTCACTCATAAGTGGACCCTGAACATTTACCACACTATAAGAAAGGGATTGGCAGTAGCAGGATACTGGCTGGGTAGGGCTGGGGGGAGGGACACAACATCAATAAGGATACCAGACCTCAAACCAGGCAAAGTGGGGACCAAAGGGATGCCCAAACTTTACCTGTACAATGACCACTTATATATTAGGTAATTCTGAATTGTACCCCACATTTTTAAAACAAAAAATAAAAATAAAAAATCCAGCTGCCATGTGTAAAGAGGTGCTTTATCATTTGACCGTTTCAACTCACCAAATGACTAACCAAATTAAAAATTAATTGCATTGACAAATAGTTAAAATGGAATCCTGCTTAAAGCAAGAGTCAAGACTCACTGAAGTTTTATTTACTTTTATATAGAAAAGGGCCTAGATTTAAACAGTTTGCTCTCATAAGATGGTATCATGAATGAGTCCTTAAAACCTGTACTCCTAGGAGAGGGTGCTATTAAATACTGTGCATTTTTTCCACAAAATGTGGACGCTAACTGCTACCGGCTTACCAAAATGCAACTGACGAACCATACACCCTCCCAAACATGTATAAAACATCACCCCAGATATTCATTTTTTCCTAAATGAATACATGTGAAAGGGACTGGTCGATGTCTTACTGTATGTGTGAGGAACTGTACTGTACTTTCATATGGATTTTCTCATATAAATGTAAGGTATATAAATATTAGTAAGGCATATAAATATTATTTTACAGGTAGGGAACTTGAGTCCCAGAGAGGTTAAGTAACTGTCCTGGGGGTAAGAACTGGCAGTCAAACCTAGAACTGATCTTAAAGTTATATGTCCTACAAAGTAGGAAAAATAAAAACAAACCTAAACACCCACACACATGGATTTAAATTATATACCAAATGTGACACCCAAATCCTGTTCATGTATGTAGGTGTGTGTTTATATGTAACATTTTAGGAGTGTGGCTTTCCTTCTTATGAAACAGGATTACTGTTTTAAATAGATATACGACACACACGGAGGAGTACACAAGTCATCAATGTATAGCTCAATGACTTTTCAAAAACTCAATACACCCAGGTAGTCAGAATCCTGATTGAAGAACAAAACCGTGCAGGCCCCTCTGGAACAGTCTGTTTACTTTCTAAGACAGCCTTTAGCATTTAGAATTAGAGATCTGTGTGAAGCAACAGGAAAACAATGTCACAATGTTCATTTTCTATTCAAAGACCGGAAAGAAATGGGGAGTGAGGATCTGGAGGTACATTTTAAAAAATTATCTTTATTTAGGTTTCTGATTCAGCACATGTATCAAAGACTAATCAACATAAAGGAGTAAATAAGACATTAATTGGAAGTCTTACATCTCTCTAAACTCTGACCAAGAATGTTAAGATTGCCACTATTACCAGAACTCCAACCTAGTCAAGTTGTAGACAAGCTATCATGAACAACATACAGTGTGCACGGATACGCAGAGGCAAAAGGCATGCTAGCACTTGGCTCTCCTCTCTTCTTGTTGACATCTTTCTGTTTGACAGTCCACTTTTGCTTTCCAGGCTAAGTTCCAAATAAAGTCCAAAGAAGGCTCAGGGTCAATCTGACCAGATACTCTTCTGGAGGAATGCATTCTTAAACAGTTGTGCCTGCAACTTTGTTTCTGCCAGGATGAAGTTCAGACCGAGATGTACAATACAATCTAGATGACGGTGCAGACGAAGTCAAGAACTAAAGTTGAGCAGTAACCCGAGTTAAGGCATGAATGCACACACGCACACGTGCATATACACACAGCACCCGCGCTGTTGTGAACACAGGATTCCTTCGACTGCCTAGCGGGCAGTCGTTTAACTGGGCTTGGCAGTTAATCACAACTGCTGAGCATTTTAGAAAATGCTCCCCATAACTTTATGCTAACCGCTGTGTGTATGTTTGATCAAAAAAAAATTAGAGAAAAAAGAAAAAACTAAAAGAAAAAAACCCACCAAAAACCTAAAAACCCCTTAATCTCTTACAATGGCTCTTAAGCATGGAACTCATGTAGCAGCGTCAATGGCTGGCTCTTTTAACAATTTGGAAATAAAAGGTTGTTTTACTATATATTTCTTTGGTAGTCATCACTACAAAGTTTTCAGTGTTGGTTACCTATAAGACAAGTACTAGACAGAAGATCAAGTTACAAAGCAATATTTCTTCTGTACTGATAAGATACAAATATTGAGCTCTCAAAGCACAAGTTACTACGCTTTTTCTTGCCTTATTGGGTATCTTCTACAAGCAAGGCTTCGTGCAGGAAAAGTTCATGTCTACCTAACAAAGGGTGATACATGTTCTATTTTCCTACAATTGAACAATCAACAAAAATTCACTAATCAATTATTTCTGGTTGAATCTGTTAGAAGCCAATTACAAAGGGACAGCAGCACTTGGTGTCAAAGCCACATTCTGGTCACACATTCATTCCATGGTTACTAGTCAGTATCTCAGGAGCTCAGAATTTAAACCTCCTTTCAATCAACAAAGGAGTAAATTAAATCTTAAATACTTCCACCATCTGCCAAATTTCTAGAATTCTGTCTAGAATGCCAGCATGCTTGGTGAGAGAAAGCAGTTCAGAGCCCAGAGAGGTGTCGGGTATTAGGTAAGTTAATTTGGTTTTGTATAAAAGGCATGGTAATCTGGCAACAGAGCACTTATCTATTAGCAGCACAGTGGTAGCCAAGGGTCTCTGTCCGCAAGACAGGAAAATGAAGCTACTGAAGCCCCCATTGCTCTCTCTTGCCTGCAGGATGGCTACTGATTTTTACAAAGGCCTTCTGGGAGTCAATTCAGTGCTCACCTGGGTAAGCGGGCAACAGAAAGGCAGTAACCATGTTCAGCCTTCATGAGACGTGCTCAACTGAGGGACGTCAGCTTCCCTTCCCATAAGAGTGGGGCCTCTTGCCTTTATGGGCTCAGCCTCTGAATCTTATGGGTCCCTGGTAGCTAAACAATTGCCAAGAAATTGTGCTGGCAGGTACTGCCCAAGTGTTACAGGCTCCACAGGGGGTCGTAAAACACTTTAAAAGGACATGAAACATCAAATTCAAAAGAGTAGTGTTTGTTTTATCAGTTCTGAGCGTCCGCAGGAAGAGGCAACTAGATTTAGGTTGAAAAAGTGCTGAAGAAGCCATGTTTTATTTTGAAGTGAAATGTCTAGTCTAGGGAACCAGCAGTACATTTCTGCAGAAGTCCGAATATCTACAACCTATCTCTAAAAGGCATTTATCAGGAACAGTTTGCTCACTCCAAGTGCTTTTTCAAAAAATTTATCATATGGCAATGTTTTAACTGTTGTGCTTTCAGGAGGTAACTAAATTGACAGGAAGCTGAGGAAAGAGCACTACATCATGGACTTTCTTGTCTGAGTGAAAGACACTGGCCACAGCATTGAAATCTAAAATCTTGTAAGATTCTTGTAAACATATACCATATTTTTCCTATAAGAAAAACCGAGAACTGTACCATAAAGGCAACATTTTTTTGCCTACTCTCAGAATTCCTTGGAATGGCAATGTACCAGGAGGGTCAGTCAGTGAGCTGTTGGTGAAAATCCTGGGTTTCACATGGCCCAGTCTGATGGTACTTAAAAACCTAAATAAGTAAACGCCAAACTTCTTCCCCTTATTTGAGAACTGTACTATGATCATGTACATACATTATAAATAAAATTTATATAGGCCTATGATTCCTTCCAAACAACTGAGGAGTGATGTTCTCAGCTTGGGGGTAGAAGCAGGAAGAGGAGAACAAAATCTTATTGTTGCTTTTACTCTCAGGTTCTTAGAATGCTAGTCAAACACTATTATCAAGACTTTTTTTTTCCATTCTGTTAATTTTTAAATATGCATTCGAAGGCAAAAATGGAGGTTTCTATACTGTACAGTATTAAATATCTACAATGTCATGGTTCCTTATTTTTAGGAGTGTGTTCAGTAAAGAGTTAGCTATTAGAGATGGTTGTCACAAAACATGAATTCTTAAGAATTACTGATAAATTAGTTTTCAGTCCTCTGATCATATCCAACAGATACACATTCTCATCATAAAATATACATTCTCTAGTAAGTTATTTTCATCCACAGCATATATAAATATGCAAACACAGGTGGTAAAAATCACTTTACTACCAAAGTACAAAACAGTAACTGCTGAAAAAAACAAAAAATTAAGAGGTTGCAAGTACTGAGAGTGACTCACAATGTTTCACTGCAAAGTGAAACCAAACAATTTATTTGTGCTAAATGAATGGAAATAATGGATTCAGAATATACTTCTTTGTACACTGCACTTGCTTATACTGGGCAAAATAAACAGTCATCAATGCTAATGTGCTACTTTCTTCTAGACTTCTTTTCTGCCAAACAATACAATATTTTCTGGTCATTATGCCAAGACATTCCTCTAATGTCCATTTCAAATAGTATTTTCCAATAAAGTATTTTGCACCCTTAAAATATTTGTTTGAACTCTATCTTAGGAGAACACAAATGAGTGGAAGGGGAAACCACATTGTTTTTTGTTACAATCACACTGCCTTCCGCAGCAGAAGCCAAATAGTACATTCTAATCAGCCATCAAAACCCCTGGTGGGTAAGACAACACCTAACGACTGAAGTTAGAGGGGCCTGGGCTAGGTAGAGTAACATTAAGGACAAAGAATCACATCTTAATATATGATGATCATCCATCCCATGGATGTGGAGAAGGTACAGCCACGTGATTCATTTCTTTAGGCCACGTGTTAGACGGGAGAGACATGGGTGTCGATATATACTGCAAACAACCTATAAGAAGTGTATCTACAGAAAGGCCTATTAAACAGAAAATATTTCATGGGCACTGATTCATCTAACTTTCCATTCTACTCAGAAATGGAAATTTAGATTTTTCAAAGGTCTGAATTGTAGTGCGGAATTATTGGTATGTTTGGTAAATACCACCATAACGGGAGAAGGGGTAACAACAGCTCGGTAATTTTCTGCAAATTTATGGGAAAAAAATATAGAAAAGATATCCCTTTTTCTTTTACAAACCTAAAAGCCAGGAAAATGAAGCTCTGGGACCAAGCAAAAATTGCACACTGCTGCTGAATTACCAAACACCAATAGCAAATGTTCCAGCCAGGGAATGGACGTACATGAAAATTCAAGTAAAACACTGATGGAAAAAGTCGTCTGGTTAGTGTTGTAGACCCACAACACTGGCTGCATTTCCCACAGACATTTACAACACAATGGATAGTGAAGCCTAGATAACACCTCAGTGCAAATAAGTCAGATCCAAATATGCCAGGGAAGGAAGCCTTTGGCGTTGAGTAGACGGCTCCATTGGACGAGTCCCAACTTGAAATTCAGACTAAGCTCATGCATTAAGGCTGGGAGGAGGGGTGCACCGAATGTTGCGAAGGGGCGGGCTGCGAGGTGGCTGCCGAGGGGACCACAGGCTGCATGGGTGGTGGAGGCGGAGGCGGAGGTGGCTGGACGGGGGTCTGTGTGTTGGGAGACGGAGGCGGCGTGGGCCGTTTGAACTTGTCAGGACTGTTGCTTCTCCGTGGTGAAGGCCTCTGCAGAGAGGACAGGAACAGCTGGTCAGTCTAGATACAGACGGCTCGTGTCTGTCACAGCCTGACTTGGCGCTGAGGCTCATGAAACACTGACCCAAGACAAGAGACCAGAGTATTTCTTCTTTATCCCTATTCATGTCCGAACTAGTAATGAAAACTTAAATAAGGAAGTGTTATCCCACCTATGAAAAAGCGACACGATATTACTCCCAAACTTGCAGTGATCAAAGTACTACGCTTGGGCCCTTCAGTGAGACAGTTGTAAAGTTAAAAAACAGCTGTGGCTCAGCCTGTAATCCCGCGCCTTTGGGAGGCTGAGGTGAGTGGATTGCCTGAGCCCGTGGGTTCGAGACCCGCCTGGGCAGCGAGACCTCATCTCTACAATAAATCAAAAAACCAGCCGGGTGTGGTAGCGCATGCCTGTAATTCCGGCTACTTGGAAGGCTGAGGCGGAAGGATCGCAGGAGCCCAGCGGGTCGAGGCTGCGCTGGCCGGGAGCGGCCACTGCACTCCAGTCTGGGTGACCAAGTGAGACTCCAACTCAAAAAATAAAAATAAAAATAAAAAAAAAAAAATAAAAAACAGCTGTCATGTTATCCCCTGAAATGTCTTCTGTCAGTGTGTGTCCCCTATCCCTTCTATCACTCAACTCAAATAAGTTTTCCTGAAACCCGCAGCTTAAAACATTCCTTCATTTACATAAAGTCCATCAAACTAGCACAATAGCCTCAGAAATACCTTAAGTGCTTCTTTAGAATAGGGCTCCTCTTTGAAATAGTCTTATTGAAAATACCCTAGATTCTCTCACTCGATTAGCTACATTTCTAACGACTCTAAGTGTCAACTACAAAGAAAAAACTTGAGTGAAGTTTGAACCAGATGCACTTAAGTTTCCTTCTAATTCCAGGAGAAAGCATTCTGAGTAAAACCAGAAATTAGGATAATTTGGGGAAGAATACCAAGGGTCAGTGAATTGTGAAGGTGCAAACAATAAATATCTTTAGACATCATGGCAACCAGCAATAATTCTTGATAGCAAGGAGCTGGCCAGAGTTCAATCAAAGCGTTGGCCAGACTTCAAGTTATATTTCACAAAGGGTAATTTTTCACAGATTGAAGCGGAAGTTTTGTCTCCTGGGAAGAATTTTAGTTTCAACACCAGAATTTGGTGATCAAATTGTTGGGAAGTCTCTATACAGTTTTAAGATGAACTGATAGGAGAGAGGTGAGGAAAAAAAGGTAATTGTTTAAGGGGATCTATCCTGGTCTCCCAGAGAGGATGGGTCAGTACCACTGTCAGGAGAAAACACCCGGTGGACACTTACTGTGATACCATGGGATGTACCCATGTGCTGCACATGAAGACCCGGGGAGTTGTAGTAAGACATTCCGGCTCTAGTCAGAGAAGTTGGTGGTGTGAAACCAACTGTGTGACTTGCATATGACAGACCTGAAATGCAACAACAAATTAAATATCATTTCTAATTCAACTATCCGGTGTCTTCAACTGTCTAGGAGGTTTTAAAATGTAGAAGTTCTCAATCACTCACAAAAATACAAACAGACAAGAAGACTGGTGGGCTTGCTAAATGGCATGGTGGAAAACAAGGGATATAAAAGTTAAGCTCTGGAACAGAATAGAGATTCGAGAAATAAACCCAAGCATGTACGGTCAACTGATCTTCAACAATGGCGTCAAGAATACACAATGGGGAAAGGATAGTCTCTTCAACAATGGTGGTGGGAAAATTAGATATTCACATGTAAAAGAATCACACTGGACTTTATCTTGTACCATGCAGAAAAACCAACTCAAAATGGATTAAATACTTAAATGTAAGATTGGAAACTGTAAAACTACCTGCAGAAAGATAAAAGTTCTTTGACGTTGGTTCTCAGCAATAATTTCTTGGAAATGACACCAAAATCACCAGAAACAAAAGCAAAATTAAACAAGTAGAACTACATTACACTAAAAATCTGCACAGCAAAGAAAACAATTGGCAGAGTGAAAAGGCAACCAACAGAATAGGAGAAAATATTTGTAAACCATATATCTGGTAAGGGATTGGTATCCAAAATATATTAAGTATCTCCTAAACTCAATAGTAAAAGGCCAAGATAATGCAATCAAAAAATGTGCAAAGGACTTGAATAGACATTTCTTTAAAGAAGATATACAAATGGCCAATAGATATAGAAAAAAGATGCTCAACATCACTAATCATCAGGGAATGCAAATCAAAATCACAATGAACTATCATCTCACATGTGTTTGGACGCAATTATCAAAAAACAGCCGAGCTCGGTGGCTCAGCCTGTAATCCCACGCCTTGGGAGGCTGAGGTGAGTGGATTGCCTGATTTCGCGGGTTCAAGACCCACCCGGGCAACTTGGCGAGACCTCATCTCTACAATAAATCAAAAATTAGCAGGGCGTGTTAGTGTGCACCTGTAGTTCCGGCTATTTGGAAGACTGAGGCGGAAGGATCGCCGGAGCCCAGCAGGTCGAGGCTGCGGTGGCCGGGAGCGGCCACTGCACTCCAGACTGGGCAACAAAGTGAGGCTCCAACTCAAAAAAAACAAAAAAATAAAAGATTGAGGTTTTTCTGTTGTTGTTGTTGCTAAGGATATGGAAAAAAGGGAACTCTTATACATTGTTGGTGGGATTGTAAAATGGTGCAGCTGCTATTGAAATCAGTATGGAGATGCCTCAAAAAAATTAAAACTAGAACTACCACATGATCTAGTAATCCCACTTCTGGTTATTTATCCAAAAGTATTTAAATCAGGATCTTAAAGAGATATTAGCACTCTCATGTTGACTGCAACATTATTTCTAAGAATCAAGATGTGGAAACAGTCTAATTGTCTATCAATGGATGAGTGGGACAAAAATAAAGTAATATATAGACATATAATGGAAGATTATTTGGTCTTAAAGAAGGAAATTCTGTCACGTGCAACAACACAAATGAACCTGGAGGACATTATGATAGTGAATTAAGCCAGTCACAAAAGGAAAAATACTGCATTGGTTCCACTTATATGAGGAATCTAGAATGTTAATCTCATAGAAAGAGTAGAATGGTGGTTGCTAGGGACAAGGGGAGGAGGAAATGGAGAATTGCTGTTCAATGGAAATAAATTTCAGTTAACAAGACAAAAAGCTATAGAGAATTGTTGTACAACATTGTGCCTATAATTAACAATACTGCATTGTACACTTAAAAATAAGAGGGAAGATCTCATGTTAAGTGCTCTTACCACAATGATAATTTTGTTTTTAAAGTCAATCTCGGTCAGGAGTTCAACTAAAAAGCAGGAAAGGAATAGAAATACATGAGGAAGAAAACAAGAATGACATGGAAAAAATAGAGCAAAGGAATAAAAGTCTGATGCAAAAAAAGGAAAGAGTCAAAAGATACATCAACAATAAGACAACAGGAACATTGTGCGCATGTGTGTAGCAGCCATAACAGCAAACACAACCAATGAGAACTTTGTAACTTGAGGATATTAAATGCAGGGAACAAAAGCCCTGTACTCTATGCCTATGTTCCCTGAAAGAAGCTGATATTTAAGGAAAAAACCACACCCAGCCCACTATAATGTTCTGTATTCTGGGACCCTAGACTCATCTAGAAGCCCAGAAATATCTCCAAAGTCTTTTTTTTTTTTTTGAGTTGGGGTCTCACTCTGTCGCCCAGACTGGAGTGCAGTGGCTGCTCCCGGCCACTGCAGACTCGACCTGCTGGGCTCCGGCGATCCTTCCGCCTCAGCCTTCCAAGTAGCCGGAATTACAGGCATGAGCTACCACGCCTGCCTGATTTTTTGATTTATTGTAGAGATGAGGTCTCTCTGCCCAGGTGAGTCTCGAACCCGCGGGCTCAGGCAATCCACTCACCTCAGCCTCCCAAAGGCGCGGGACTACAGGCTGAGCCACTGAGCCCGGCTCCAGAGTCTTTTAAAAGTACACATGTCCAGACTTTCCTTACTAATAGACAGGTCTGGGTTGGGGTTCAGTCATATTTTTAAAACATTTTCAAAGTCATTTTCACCTATGTGCAGCATAAGCAGCCCTGGTCTTTGGAGAGTTAGGTGCAGAAGGCTCCTTTGGCTTGGGGCATCACTTATTTATTACTACACTAATACAGCTGGCTGATGTTCCAGGCTCACCTTATATATTTCATGTCCCAGTCCTAGAAACATTCATTTCTACAAGACCCCTAGTTCTTTTTTACTGGAGAATGGAATTAGAAACCAAGATCTGGGCACAAGTATTCTCACTGCTATTAGGGTACAGATTTATTTTTAAGACCTCAATACGGCCTGTCTCTGATATAGACACACCATAACATGCTAATTGGGAATCTCCATTTCTTATGCTGTATAAAATAATGGACAACCTGAAAAATGACTGTTGAAAATTAACACTCTTTCCATATATAATTTACATAGAGAAATCCACATATAATCAAGAAGAGAAGATTTCCTAAGTTCTATGCTGTGTATCTTTTAATTAAATTGTAAACTGGAATGTAAAATATTAATCAAGAATTTAGTGAAAATGCAATATTTCCAATGTTACAACAAAAGTGGAAAGGGAAGGAGAGCCAAAACTGGAAATGATCACTATTCAAACAGCATATTTCCACTAAGGAAGGATTAGATATTCTTCATACTGAAAATCACAAATTCCTTCAATAAAAACCAAAGTGAAAAGAAAACTGGAATATTCGGGTTCTGGCGATCTACTATGTATAGCACTAAAATGTACTAGATTAGAATGGAGTAATCCTGCTGCCAAAAAGGAGATGAAATCTACTTTGATGATATTATAGAACCTAAAACAGGATAAAAATATTCTCATGGCCGGACTTGGTGGCTCAGCCTGTCATCTCAACACTTTGGGAAGCAGAGGGCGAGTGGATTGCCTGGGCCTGTGGGTTCGAGACCAGCCTGGGCAACATGGTGAGACCTCATCTCTACAATAAAAAAATAAAATAAAAAATTAGCTGGGCGTGGTAGTGCACACCTGTAGTTCTGACTATTTGGAAGGCTAAGGTGAAAGGATTGCCAGAGCACAGCAGGTTGACGCTGGGGTGGCCATGAGTACACCACTGCAGTCCAGCCTGGGCGACAAAGTGAGACTCCAACTCAAAAAAAAAAAAAATCTCATTTAGCCTAGCTGAAAGGAAAAAAATGTCTAGGTGTTACTTATTACACAGTTTAAGGAAAATCAAATAGCTTATCCATCCAAGTCAGCCTCACACTTGATGTAGGTTCCACGACAGGGACAGGTGCATTGAAAGTCAAATTTATTTAAATGGAATAAGATTTTCTTTTTCTTTTTTTGCGTTGGAGTTTCACTCTTTGTCACCCAGGCTGGAGTGCAGTGGCATGCTCATGGCCACCACAGTCTTGACCTGCTGGGGTTAGGGGATCCTTCTACTTCAGCCTTCCAAGTAGCTGGAACTACAGACACACGCCACCATGCCCAGCTAGTTTTGTGATTTATTGTAGAGATGAAGTCTCGCCATGTTGCTCAGACTGGTCTCGAACCCCCAGGCTCAGGCAATTCTTTTGCCTCAGCTTTTCTTGCGAATATTTGTTATAATAGAAGTAATATTCCCAACAAGGTCTGACATTTGTTTTTCTTTTTTCAATGATTACATCATTGTTTTAATCACTTAGAAATTGCATACCTCTAAGGATTTTTTTTAGGTTTAAATAAATCAAACAGGGTATTAAATTATACTTAATATGAATCAGCATCACCGTCAACTACAAAATAACCCACCATCTTGTTTCTTCCTGACTCCTGACTTTCTTTTACATCAATAAATCAGACTGCAAAATGACCTTTGTCATGGAAATGAAACCCAAGCACTATTTTGGGAAAACTGAGGGAGCTGGGAAAAGAAGCTTCTGGAGAGAACCTAAGGCTGCTGGAGGGTAGGAGAAACAAAGATTTAGGAACATCCTTCTGGCAAGAACAAGGGGTCATGATCATGCCATTGATCCATGATAGAAAGTCCTGCTTTGTGAACAGCCCCTCTTTGCCCTGCCTGATGCCAGAGAGCACATTGGCCCAAAGGTACAAAGGCTGCCACTCTTTGCTAGACTTTATCTTTTGACTGTCTCCTCTTAAAAAAAAAAAAAAAAAAAAGGCACAGCATCACACTGCTAGGCTCCTAAATTCACAAAACCGAGCCTCTTCTCTCAGACTTTATCAATGGCAACCCACATTTCAGCACCATTTTCCCTTCAGGGCGGTGTTTTATTTTATAAAACCTTTATGCAATAAAAAAAAAATTAATTGGGCATGGTAGTACGTGCCTGTAGTTCCAGTTACTTGGAAGGCTGAGGTGGAAGGATCACCTAACCCCAGCAGGTCAAGGCTGTAATGACTGTGGGCGTTCCACTGCACTCCAGCCTGAGTGACACAGTGAGACTCCCACTCAAAAAACCCAAAAAAGCCAGGCACGGTGGCTTAGCCTGTAATCCTGCGCCTTGGGAGGCTGAGGTGAGTGGATTGCCTGAGCCCGCGGGTTCGAGACCTGCCTGGGCAACTTGGTGAGACCTCATCTCTACAATACCAAAAAAAAATTAGCCAGGCACCTGTAGTTCCAGCTACGTGGAAGGCTGAGGCGGAAGGATCCCTAGAGTCCAGCAGGTTGAGGCTGCGGTGGCTGGGAGCGGCCACTGCCCTCCAGTCTGGGCGACAGAGTGAGACTCCAACTCAAAAAAAAAAAAAACCAAAAAAACTCCCCAACTCCCCCCAAAACAAAAAACTTTTATGTTCCTACCCTTCAAAGCAGTTACCTCTCTCTAAGCTACTGTGAAATTCCTCCTCTATCTTCCTCCTTGCTCTCACACACTTTTCCCCCCCAACTCTGTTGAAAAAAAAAATCTGTTTACCAGCAAGCACAAGAAATTCAGTCTCATCATTTTGGTCACAAGACACAATCCTTTGGCCTGCTACCTTTTCTTTCCTCTCCCTGCTCCTTGGGCCACCCACCCCCTCCTCTGTTTCCTCTTTCTCCCCTGCTGGATCATTTACTTGCCCTCCTGGCCTGAGAGCCCCACACAGTGCTGGGACTGAGCCAGAGACCTCGGGAGAGAGTTTTCAGGGTCAGATGGAGACAAGCAAGCCTTTGAGGGAAAGGCTCCTGAGAGCAAAGCCAGAAGCAGACTGCCTGACAGAAGTCTGTTCCTTCATGTATAGCCTGCCTACTGGGGCCGGTCCCACTCAAGAATGGCTAGAAATATTAGAAGGCAGCCCATGCTAGAAAGAACACATAGGCTTTTGAAATAGACACGCCCTGCCTTGCCACTTCCTGGCCATGTGACCAATAGTTAGGGAACCTCCAAATGGCTGCTTCCCCATTTTAACGTGGGGAAAATAATGCCAACATTAATTATCCCTAAGGCTAAAAATGAGATTTATGTTTGTGGAATATAGTAAAAAAACTCATAAAAGGTATGCTAGGAGGCATCTTGGAAATACACCCCAAGGTTTTTATCCACCCACTAGCTTAAAATCATAGTCAAAGACAGTTGTCTTTTTAAAAAAGTATTTTAAAGTCAAATTCCTTTCAGGTTTAAAAAAAAAAGAGGAAGAAAAACAACAGCTGGCAATATATCATTTATGCTTAAAATTTTCAAGCTAGGACCTTTTGCCTTGATAGTGATATGTTTTTGATGCTTTTGTAAAACATATGACCATGATCTCTGTTTATAATATTTTATATGATAGAAGGGAACATAATCAGGGTTGTTTATTAAATGTACCAGAAATCAGTCATTGAAGTAGCCATGTACTCACCAGGTGATATAGGCCTGCTTGAACTTGGAGAAGGTGTGTAAGGGATCGGGCTGGACACAGTGCGAGGTCTTAATCCTTGTGCAGACATCTCGTTAAAATACCTATGAGGAGAAAGTAGGAAATGATCAAAACCATCTGCATTTAAATAGTTCTTAGGTGAGCTTTTTATGAGAGAATGTTTGGAGTTCACATCTTGAGGTCAAAATCCTGAGTGTCTGGAGAGCGATGCTATAGCTAGGAAATATTTACATAATGAACCCCTGAGTTACACTGTTCCACTCCACAGAGGCAAAGGTTAGAAAGATGTTTTAGCTCAGGATGGAGGCTCGGTGACAGAGCTGCACCCTACAATAGAGAAGACCAACCTTTTCTCCATCATATAACAGCTGTGTAGAAATTCGCCTCCATTGTCTTTGTAGACATTTTAATGGCTATATTTAAATTGTTGCTTGAAACTCAAAATCAAGCAAGACCTCTGCAATTTATGTCATCAAATTAGAACTTAAAGGTACATATTCCTGTGAGATGAATGTCAACCATTTACAAGTAAGCTTTGTTTAACAGATGGTCACAGATTAGAATTCAATAAAAGACACGAGTACTGAGCACCCAGGGCAGGTCACCACGCCTAGCCACACCATGCTGAGCCTCACTTCTTTCTATTCAGAAGTCACATCAGACCTGAGAATGCTAAAGTGTGATCACCTGGACATCAGCTTTCACTCTGTGAAACAAGCACAGAGTGCTGATGAGGAGAAATTTCTGCTTGAAAGACTTCCTGATGAACCATCCTCCACGGGCCTTGTGGCTACATGTGCGTGCATTTTTATCCCAGGGACGATCTCAGCCCTGGAGTTCGTCAGTTCACGTGAGGGAAATTTAATACAGCTATTCCAAATAGGAAGAAAACCAGGCTCCCTAATTTGACATGATCTCTCCACTAGATATCCACCACTAACTCCTCCTACAGTTTTCAGAGCAGCCCACCATTGTGGCACCACGTGGGACTTCTTATATTCTGTATTCACTAGATAGCTAAGATGCCTCTTGTAGACTTAAGTGTCAGATTATTTTCTTTCTCCCAAATGTGATACCGTCATTACTAATAGGGAGAGAAGTATTTAATGAGTCAGATATACTCTATTTGAGAAATCTGACCTACAGGAGGTAGGGCAAACTTTCTGGAGTGAGTACCAATTCTGGAAAAAAAATATTTATCTGGAAGTCTGAGATTGCTTCAGTATTATCACTGTACTGAGATGAAATTGTCCCTCAGATTATTGTACCTTATCCAAAATTGGGCACAGGATGCTATATATGGCCTATTCTGTGTCTTAAGGTAGTTAGTTAATAAGATATTTAGTATTCTAGCTGAATTTTTTAGCTAATTGGTTCTCAGAAGATAAAGATTTTAGAGAGAATGGAAAACCTCAGTTTTATAACAAACTTTTTTTTTCCTCTTTTTTGAGTCAGAGTCTTACTCTGTTGCCCACGATGGAGTGTACAATTGCACCTCACCTCAGCCTTGACCTCCTAGGCTCAGGGGATCCTTCTGCCTCAGCCTCCTGAGTAGCTGGGACTATAGGCATGCGCCATGAGGCCTGGCTAATTTTTTATTTTTTGTAGAGACGAAGTCTCACTGTGTTGCTCAGGTTGGTCTTGAACTGTTGGGCTCAAGTAATCCTCTCTCCTCACTGGGATTACTGGAGTGAGTCACCATGCCCAACCAATACAAACTTTTGAGGAGGAATCATACTTATTCTTTTTAAATGAAGCACATGCATAGTATTTAAAATAGAACAGCCTGTTATTGTTTTTATAATTTTTTTTGCTCATTATGAAAATACAGACTTTCGGCCAGGTGTAGTGGCTTATGCCTGTAATCCCAGTATTTTGAGAGGTGGAAGTAAGAGGATAGGCTGGAGACCAGCCTGGGCAACATGGCAAGACCTCATCTCTATAATCAATTAAAAAAAAACTAACCAGGCATAGTGGCACGTGTATAGTTCCAACTACTTGGAAGGTTTAGGTGGAAGGATCCCCTGAGCCCAGCAGGTCGAGTCTGCGACAGATGACTCCGACTCAAAAAAAAAAAAAAAAAAAAGAAAGAAAAATACAGAGTTTCATGATACCCAAATCTTATGTTTTCTTGAAACAATAATACCATTATTCACAGCAAACTGATCAAAAGCTGATGTGCTAACGTTGCCTACGTGTTTTTGGACAACATGTTTTGGAATCAAAAGACAGCATTACTTGTCTCAGACACCAAGTGCCTGGTCCTGCTGGGAAGGCCCTGAGGATGCAGAGATCTACCTTTCACACAGAGATATGGTACACATAAGAGCCCCATCCCTGATCCAGAATGGAAAGTGTTCTTGCAGAAATGATCTGGTTCAGAGAATGGCTAACTGCTGGGTTTTTCGGCTGACTGAACAACTCTTTCCAATTACACTTATTGCTTATCTTAACAACCAACTTATCACAAGCTTGGAGAAGGAGGAAGAGGAGGGGGAGCTGGAGAAGAGACAAAAACCGAGATCATTTCCTCCAGTTAACCAAAGGGTGACTTTCTTATTCCGGACATTTATAGTGCGGCAATGAGGGGATACAACACTTGGACAGACGAACGCAATGTACTTGTTCTGCAAAAAGTCTCAAAAGTCATCTATGTGTTAAGGCAAGTGCTTGGGTTTTTGACAGCTTCCTCCAGTGTCCTGCTAGATCTTTCCACCTACACATGTATTTGTTTCCTCAAGGTGCACTGTCGCTTGCCCATCCACACACAGTACAGGAATTAATACGCTCCCCTGACTCCAACAGGCATAACACAGAGATTAAACTGATTCAACAACAACTGCAAACTCTGCTGCCTCTCCATATATAACCCTGCCCCCATTTCTCTCCCCACCAAATAGTTTTAGAAAGGGCTTTTTCCCCTCTTCTTTTTGTGTTTAAGGAAAATATCCTTAAAGTACCCCATTCTCAGCATCTACTTTAATGAGGTGGTATTCATCAGCACATTAAATAAATATTTAAGCCATCTCCTTCCACATCTAGCATGATGGAAGAGAGGTCTTATGGAGCCTTTCCTCCCTCCCCTTCTCTCCCCCATCAAATGAAAAAAAAAAATACAAGGCTCATAGGACACACACACTCACCTTTCGTCATCCATTTCTAAGCTGGACTCGCTCTCAGAGAGCTGTCGACAGAGGGCTTCTCTCCTTTCCATCTCCCTCTGCAGCTTCCTCTGCAGCCTCAAGTTCTCTTCCCTCATGTGACGTTCCTCCTCCAGATACTGTGCCATTTTCTCTGAATCTGAAAAGCCAGAATTCCCAATTAAACCATGTTTCATGAAATCACCTCCAAATCTTAAAAAAGGAGACTTTAATTCAGCTCCTATGCCACAGGCATACAGAACTGTTGCAAGACAGTCATGCTCTCACGCACGCAGATGAGATCTGGATTGAAAGTTTATCCCAAGTATCAAAGCTTACCAATGATGTACATCTAAGAAAAAAATATAAGAGGCAGTGTTAGGAGGCTAGGCATCTTCACTCCCCCTCACTTGCATTCTACAGTGCTCTAAGAGAAAGAGAAAATGGTGGAAATGTAGTTAGTCTGGAAGTAGCAGCTCCCAACGCTCTTCTCTAAATTGCTGGAGCAGGGAGAGGAGGACACCAATTCAGCTGCCTCTCAACTCCAGACACGTTGGGGTCACCTAGAGTCATGCTTGTCAGCACGCCCACCATGAATGGTGGTAGAGGCACACCAAGAACCACCACACTAGTAGAACACACTTGGTAACAGTTAACACTCTTTTTATGAAGGATGTAAATTGCCACAGTAAACAAGGACACTCTGGATAAATATTTCAAATATTAATGTGTTGCAATGTGCTACTCTGTTTCCTTGACACACACATGTGGCCAGAGTCAGATAGCAGGTGAAGACCTGTATATTCAGCAGGCACCACGTGGGATGGTGTCTTGCTTATGACAAATACCCCTACCTCAGGAGCTGCCCCATATGTCCAGGTCTCTGCTATAGCACCTGGCTCCCAGAATAGAGTTGACTAGCCCTGGGGTGAGATGCTGGACCCAGGCTGAGCCACCTATAGTCCCTTCTCCCAAGAATCTGAAATGAGAAAATGACATCTTTATGGGGCTCTGGAGTCTCCTTCAGCGAAGTTCCCCGGAGTCATCACAACTCCTGTTCTTCTGAGGTTATTCCATCCAGTCTCCACGCCCCTCTAATAAAAGGCAAAACACGTCTATCTTCCTCCTCTATTACCCTCATTCCTCCCTAGTTTATCTCAGACAGAATCTGTTGCTACCAACTAACCAAAATAATCTTAATATAAAACTCAGTGTCTACCCATCATCTTGCTTCCTTACTTTTCCTTGTCTCAGTCAATGAAATTAGGAAAAGTAAAATCTCCATATGCTTCTCTTTTCTGATAGAGTGGCCATGAGCATGTCTAAGAGAGTTTCATATAGTTACTGTTTCACATTATTAACCCAATTCAAATTTAAGAAAAAAGAGAAGGACTGAATACCACATTGAGCATTTCTCTCCCACAAACTGCCCTAACTTCAGCTCCCAATGTTCATCAAATTAGTTTCAGTTTTAAGCAACTCTAAGAGGGTCCAACTTTTCATCAAATAAAGACTTTTAATGATAAGGAGTCAATGATTTCTAAGACAGCATCATTGTAGAACATATAAAAGCTCTTGGATATCCCTATTTCAGAAATTCAAATAAAAATACCAAAATTATTAAACACTATTACGTGCACTAAACACTAAATCCCTCTGTGGTTTTCATCATAGCCAGAAACCCTGCTGCTTAATCCAGACAGAAAAATCTCTTTAATTGAAGGCATGCTGGGAAAATATTTACAAAGTACGCTTTTAATATAAACGATTTAAATTATTTCATCCCAAATATGCAAGCGTGCAGAATTTTTCACTTTGCTCTACAGGAAGCACTAGATTGGCCCCTTGGAGTATTTACTTTTTCTAGAACTTGAAGGGCGACCATCAGAGCAAGCTTTCTTTTCTGTAATAGGAATACTTTGATGCCTTTTATCGGAAGGGTGTTGGACAATGCCAAGGAATCCCTCGTAGAACTGAAGATTCATGAGACTTTAAGAACAATCATTTAAGAGGAAACACGATCTTTCAAAGAAAATGGCAATTCTTCAGTATCTGGAGTTCAGCAGGGGGGTCCTTAACCAATAATCTACAGATAAAAATGTCACCTTAAGTGATTAGCTGGGAAGACTTCCTGCCAGTTCAGCAACTCACCTAGAAGACAGAGGCACAGAGAAGGTACCAGATCCAGTACCTCTGAGTGTCACAGGCTCAGGCACAGATGGTTAACACTATAGCATTCCTTGCGTGCCCTCTGTTGACTCACAGCCATACTCAACTAGATCTGTTCCCATAAGCCATCCTCCCTCCTTCTTGCCCCCTGAGCTTCTTAATACTTAGGGGCCATAGCTTTCATTTCCCCCATCCTCAGCCACCTTGCAACACAGTGGGTCCTCACTTAATGTCATTCCTATGTTCCTGTAAACTGTGACCTTAAACAAAATAGCTTATGTATGCTTAACTCCTGTTTATATCAATTAGTCTATAATAAATTTGGTTTGGTTAAAAAATATGTCATTTCACTTAGAGTCACAGTGTCGAAGAACCCACTGATGACACTGTGAAGACTTACCATATTTAGTCAAAGATAGTATGAAATGAGGATGACTTCCAGGCACACTCCAAAGAGGTGGCTCCTAAATGATCCAAAGGTGACCTGCACATTTTGCATTCCTTTTCAAATTTACAGCTAGAAAATACTAATGCCCAGACCCTACCCCAAACCAATTAAGTCAGAATCCCTGAGGATGCCCCAGTCACTGGTCTATTAAAAGCTCCTCAGGAAATTCCAAGGTTCAACCATTGTTGAGAACTATTGAGAGAGAGGTTCAAGTTCAGATGCAGTGAGGCTTGGAGGGTGAAGAGGCACCTGTCACAGCTGCACCCAAAAGAGGTAGGAGTCACCTGGCCTAAGGAGAATGAAGAAAATGGAAGAGGAAAAGTCATTCAGTCATCCTCTAAGCTCAATCCAAACCACTGCAAGCAGCTAAGTGTTTCTTTAGTTAAGCTTTCCCTGTCCTCAAAAAAATTAAAATAGCACTTTACAGATGCCTCTATTGGTATCTGCAGTCTCTTCAAAGATCAAACAGTACAGCACAAGACAAATAGTAAGGATAAAAAAATTATCCCCAAATTTCTTCTAAAAACTTTACTTGGGACACAATAGAGCAATTGTAAATGAGGAAGAAAAATGCAAACTGGCCATGCTGGCCATTGAAAGTGGACTGGGTTAAAGAAATGTGGTACACACACACAATGGAATTTTATGCAGCCATAAAGAACAAAATTATGAACTTAACAACTTGGATGGATTTAGAGTCTGCAATACTCAGTGATCTAACACAGAAACAAAGAACTGAGTACCACACGTTCTCACTCATAAGTGGACCCTGAACAAACAACGATCATAATATAAGAAAGGGATTGGCAATAGTGGGAAACTGCTGGGGGGGGGTTTAGTACACTTCATCAATAAGGGTACCTTATCTCAAACCAGGTGAAGTGGGGATCAAAGTGAGGCCCAAATTTTACCTGAACAATGATCATTTGTATACCTAACTCTGAATTGTACCCAACTTTAAAATAAAGAAAAAGTAAAGAAAAACGCAAACTGACAGCATCAGAAAGGGTTCAGGAAGTTGCTAACAGAGATCTGTCTACCCAACACAGCAAAAACTCAAAAATATATAAGGACAACTAATATTTGAGAACTCTCACTTATTTATTTTCACAGAATGCATGTAGTAGTTATGAACCTTGAGGTAAACACCAGAATTTACTTACATTTTTTAAAAATTCAGAGGACCAGGCTCTACTCCCAGCGTAAGCCCAGAGACCGGTGTGGTGTTAGAATGATGGTTCCCTAAGATGTCCACATGAGAATCCCCAAAACCTGCAAATGCTACTGCTTCCCATGATGAGAGCATCTTTGCAGATGTGACTAAGTTAAGGGCCTTGAGAAGGGGAGATTACCTTGAATCCTTAGGGTGGGGCTAATATAATCACAAGGACCCTAATAAAGGGAGACAGAGGAGTGGGAGGGAAAAGGCAATGAGACAACAGATGCAGAGGTGGGAGGCAAGGAAGGGGCCATGAGTCAAGTAGTACAGATGGCCTCTAGAACCAGAAAGAGCAAGAAAATGGATTCTTCCTGAAAGCCTCCATAAGGAATACCACCCTGCTTATGCCTTGGTTTCAGCCCAGCAGGTCCCATCTTAGACTTCTTCTGACTTCCACAACTATAAGGCAATACATTTATACTGTTTTGGGCCACTAAGTCTGTGGTAATTTGTTATAGCAGAAATAAGCAACTAATATACCATACTCCTTAAGGGTTCCAGGGAGGATCCTGATGCATCTGCACTGATTGGCATTTGGGCCGGAGCATCAGACTAGAACCCACAATGAACTTCAGAGAAGAAAACATAACAAAAAGAAATACATGATGAAATATTATGCAGCCATAAAGAAGGATAGATTTATGAACTTCATAGCAAGTTGGACGGACTGAGTCTATAACACCGAGTAACCTATCACAAAAACAAAGAACTGAATCTCACATGTTCTCACTCATAAGTGGACCTTGAACAATTATTGTAATACTATAAGAAAGGGATTGGTGGCTGGGCTTGGTGGCTCAGCCTGTAATCCCACACTTTGGAAGGCCGAGGTGAGTGAATTGCCTGAGCCTGCGGGTTCGAGACCCGCCTGGGCAACTTGGCGAGACCTCATCTCTACAATAAATCAAAAACATTAGCTGGGCATGGTAGCACATGCCTATAGTTCCAGCTACCTGGAAGGCTGAGGCAGAAGGATCCCCGGAACCCAGCAAGTTGAGGCTGTGGTGGCCGGGAGTGGCCACTGCAGTCTGGGCGACCGGGTGAGACTCCGACTCAAAAAAAAAAGAAAGGGATTGGCAGTGGGAAACTACCAGGGGAAGGGGGAGCACACCTCATCAACAAGGGTACCCACATAATGAACATCTGTATACCTAACCCTGAATTGTAACCCATATCTTTAAAATAAAAAATTAAGAAAAAATAAAATAAAAAAAAAATTTAAAAAAAGAACCACTGAACTTTAAAATGTACATTCCATGTGACCCAGCAAATCCACCTCCTGGAATCTATTCTGAAGAAGTTCTTATACAGGTATCAAACGTGTGTTCAAAGATGTCTACTGTAGTTGTAGCATAACAACCAAAAAGTATCCTATGGTATAAGAAATAGTTACAGTATCCACAGAGTTCACATTCACACCCCATGAATACTGTATTTCTATCTGTCTTTGGTTGTAGTTGTGGAACCTGCAGATATGGACTGATGACTGTATTTTTAAAAATCTGCATAAATCGAGGCTGCGGTGGCCGTGTGCATGCCACTACACTCCAGCCTGGGTGACAAGAGTAAGACTTCAACTCAAAAAAAAAAAAAAAAAAATCTGCATAAAAGCACACCAGCTTTAAAACCTGCACTGTTTTAAGGTCAACTGTATTTATATAAAATAATTTTACATACACACATATACATATCTGAAAGAATATAGTAAAAATGTATAATTGTGGGAATTGGGTGGCTAAAGACTAGGACTGAGAAAAAGACCTATTTTGTCACTGCCTACCTTTTACCAGATTATCTATTCAAAAAAATAAATTTAAGCAGCTACAATACAGAAATAGGGGAAAATCAAGAAAACAGAGAGGACCTAATAAAGTATTCAAAAATCTAGTTCCTTTGATTTTTCAACTCAACATCTTGGCCTCTTCCAAAATATTGAGTATAAATTTCAAAAGCATTTATTCTTCCAGTACTGTGAACAAAAGTCAGCTAAGGTTAAGTTTAGTAGTAAGAAAGGTAGACACTATTCTCTGCCTTAATGTTTCAAAAGTGCATTGAGGTCTCCTGCAATATTTCTCTTAGCACACTCCTAGAGAGGAACATGAGAGAGGAGATTAAAAATATTACCTGTGATCCTGGACCCTCTAGGGTTCTAAACTGTTTTGCCCTCCCCTACTATACAGTTCTTAAAGAAAAAAAAATCCACTCCAGGATGATAATTTTATATAAATATGTTATCAGTAATAAAATATAGCATGGATATAGTTACTGCAAACTCAACAGTCATTCAACATCAGCATAAAACGCCCTGTAGTTGGTAAACGTATTAATTCTATAGGAAGAACACTAATGAAACCAGAAGCCACGTACGCTGTAACTGAGCCGCTCTCAGTTGCTTCTTCAGCCGCTCCACTTCATTCTTTAAAAACCTGATGTGACGCATCATGTTTTCTGGAGAATCAATCTCCATGGAGATATCTCTAGGTGATGGGGGAGCAGAGACAGGCTGATCTAATTTCTCCTGCAGTATCCTTCATTGAAAAGAAAAATGCCAGTGATTAAAAACAGTCGGTCTTTAAAAGACAAAACAACACACTAAACTGGCAGGTTTGTTTTGAAAGCAAGATTTTGTTCATCGACAGAATTTGCAGGGTTGCTTAACTCCTCTGTCCATTTTATACCAACTTCTGTTTGTCCTTACTTGCTATCTCAGGTCAAATGGCAGAAGGATCTGATCTTCTTTTCTTTGAGATGACCACAGGTAATTATGCAATATTGAAAGTCTCTGTTTAACATTTGGTTTTGATTATGAGGCCTGGAATGCAGTATCCACTCAGAATTACCTGCCGACTAAATGTTCAACATGTTGGGCTTAGGGTATGAAAATGCCAAAGGAATTCCACTCTCCCTCCACTTTTGGTTTAAACTTACGAACTACTACGAATCTCCTTGGATGGTGAAGTCACATAAAGAGATTCAGCTTCCAAATATCTCTCCTGCAAGACCAATCCCGAGAGGGCACGTCAAACTAGACTGAGGGCCCTTTGTGTTTGGCCATAGAAAGTTAAAAAGTTGAAAACAGAATCAAAATAATTGGGTAAATTATGGTGGTTCCACCTTCTTCACAAATTATTGTTAGGTTAAAAAGATATAAAATGCTGACATTCAACAGCTTTTGTCCTACAAAATAGCAATTTCATATTCCTCAACCCAATAATTTGGTCCTAATATATGTAAAACCTCCAACTGCCTTCTGCAAAGGAAGATTGACTGGCAACAGATCTCCACCTCCCTTTCCATAAGCTCCTGGGGTTTTGGGTTTATTTTTAACGCTGTACCTTTGAGTTTGCCCAAGTTCAAACTGTGAATTACCTCTAGGTCTACCCTTGCTGAGAACACTAGTATGTTAAATATTGTAACAGTTTCTACATTTGTTACATAAAATAACTTTTTATAATTCAATTTATTAGCACTGCTACAATAATGCAAAACATAATGGTTCTTTTATAGCTTAAATATTTCCTGTAGCTATAACTCTAATTTTCATTTCTCTTAAAGCTATGTGGCATATCTATATTTTGCAAATCTTGAGATGAAAGCTAAATAATTTATGAATATACATCCAAACCAAACACTGAAGGCAGAAGGACTTTGGGTAGCAAACAAAAGATCCTGATGAAGCAAATGAATGACCTTTATACAACCATATGTACATCCCACTTATAGAACCTGCCATCCTTACAAGCCCTGTCCTACCCACATCCAACATACACAGTGGTTGAGAATAAGGACCTAACACTATCTTGCACAAAAAAGTTCAAGGAAGATTTTGCTGTTGAGTGACATTCTATATCCATATATATGCTTTTAGCACAAAGAATCCTATCCTTAAGCAGGTAAGATATTTCTTTTAAAACAGTAAGTTTTAAAACAAATAGTAATTTTTCTACTAAAATCTCAGCCTTCCTAATGAAGTCAATTCTAGAGATACACAATTAACAGTACATAGAATAGTATATGTTACTACCACCATGCATGCTGTCTTTTCAACCAATGGGCAATTCTCCTTTTCAATGGTTGAATCAACAAATTACTTTTGATTCCACTGCTACAAAGATGTCAATATATTTCATATTTCCTTAGTGGGTCACAGAGGCAAGTTCCTCACTGATCAAAGACCCCTTGTGCATACAGTAAGGAACCAATAATGCATATAAAATGTAGTCTTTTTACAGCAACTAAGTACTTTAGAAAGTCAAAGTACTGGGGAAGCCAGTTCAATAAGCTGAAAAGTTGAAATTGCAACTATCCTTGAAAGGAATTTAAATGTGAACAATAGCATCGTGACCAATTTCGTCACAGCCTTGTAGTATCAAATGAAAAGAAACTCTTCTCGAACAATATCAGAGAATAAAGAGGTAACCAGCATGGGAACAGTTCAGAAGGCTTGCAACATTTGTTTTTCCTTTGGCAAATTAAAATAATGTACATCACCTAAGTAATTAAAATGTCCCATTGTTATCCCTCAGTCACATCCAGAACAGTACTCTAGACACACATACACACACACACACACACACACACACACACACACCCATATTAAGCAGTAAGACTAAACAAACCGCTTTTCGGCTTCAAGTTTATCCATTCTTTTCCAGAGACGATTAACTAGTGCTTCTTGTTCTTGTTCCAATGTATTTTCAAGGTCAATCTTCTCCCGTCGCAACTAAAGGAAGGAAAAATGCTTTACTGAGATGATTGGCCCCTTAAACTTTACTAATTACATTGAACAATCGGGACCCCTTACTTGGAGAAAACTGCACAGACGCGGCCAATTTTCTGGCACAGACACGTTAAGTACATCTAGTTCTTAAACTTTTATTGAAAAAACTGGGACAGATTCATTCTTGGATGCTAATGCTTAATTGTTGTCTAGCGTTACATTTCTGGTTTCAACGTTTATTCAACATGGAAAGCCTTGACCTCCTTGGGTTTTGGAGGAGCTCTGTTTACTAATCATACCAGCACTTTTCTGGACTTGTCCCTTAGTCCTGCATATAGTTCAAAAGTAAACCAGAAAGGTTATGTTACTATTTATAAATAACTTTAAAAATCCCCCACCCTATATACGGGCTAATGGAAGTAAATGAACACATACTAAGATATAAAAACAGCACGCATAAAAATGAAAAATACCAAATTCACAATACAGATTACCTCTGAGGATTTAAGAAAAAAGATAAATTTGATTTGGGGGAGGGTATGAGATTAGGGTGGAAACCCCAAACTGTTTTATTTCAGTTTGGAAAATTCATTTAATGAATCAATATTGAAAAATACATAATAAATATTGAGAACAATGCCAAATGCTGGATAATAGGAATATAGTAATGAACCAGTGTCAGAAATTTCTGTCCTCATAGAACTTCTTTTTAGTGGGGGTCAAGACAGTAAATGAAACAAGTAAATTATATATTTGTGCAAGAACGTGAAACAGATATGGTAAGAGGGAGCGAGTGTAATGATAAATAGCTTTCATAGCAACAAGTAGAGGTAATACTGTCATATCATTTTCTGTACTTGTCTGCATGTTTGAGATACTACATAATTTTAAAAGGAAAACAAAATTAAGACAGAAAGCTTATGTTACTACCACCATGCTATCTTTTCAACCAATGGGCAATTCTCCTTTTCTATGGTTGAATAAACAAATTACTTTTGATTCCATAACTACAAAGATGTCAACAGATTTCACATTTCCTTAGCGAGTCACAAAGGCAGGTACTTCACTGATCAAAGGTCCCTTGTATAAACAGTAAGAAACTAATAATGCATATAAAATGTAGCCTTTTACAGCAATTAAAGCATCCAACAGCTGAAAACAATATTCAAAGTTTGGTTTTATTTCTACACTCAAAAGAAGTCCTCCTTTTGGAAACTGCTCTCATAGTAGCTTAGTTTTAAGAAGCACAAATTTCAACCCCTAGAAATGCTTAGTATGGCCAACCCCAACAGGGTCCTGAAAAAGCTCAGAGAGGGCAAAAGACTTGCCCATATTCATACAAGGAAACAAGATAGCCCTAGGAAAACAAGCAGCTACTTGACAATCAAGACCTGGGAGCAAATGATATAAGGGTAATAAAATAATCATGTCTAAGTTTAGAGGGAAAAAAGATGTCTCAAACAAATGGGGAAAATGCTCTCATGAGATAGCAGAGTTCTAGGCATTTCCCTTCTCCTCTTAATAGCACAGAAATAGCTGTAGAACAGCTGGTCATTTGAATAAAGTATTTCTGATAACTAGATACATATGCAAACCAGCAGACAATATATTAGGAAGGAAAATTACACTTCTCTTTTATGAACACAATCCTTGAATCAAATGCCTGGGTTCAAATCCCAGCTCCAACACTTGCTAGTTAAAAAATATTGAGAAAATTGCAAGATACAATTTCATCATTTGTAAAATAAGGGATGAAAATAATGTCTGAGCTGGGCTCGGTGGCTCAGCCTGTAATCCCAGCGCTTTGGGAGCCCAAGGTGAATGGACTGCCTGAGCCCACAGGTTCGAGACCAGCCCGGGCAACCTGGCAAGACCTTGTCTCTACAATAAATCAAAAATTAGCTGGGCATGGTAGCGCGTGCCTGTAGTTCCAGCTACTTGGAAGGCTGAGGCAGAAGGATTGCCAGAGTCCAGCAGGTCGAGGCTGTGGTAGCTGTGAGCATGCCCAGTTTGGGCGACAGAGTGAGACTCTTAACACAAAAAAAATAAAATAAAATAATCTGTTTCACTGGGTTATTGAGAACACCAAATGTATAAACCCATGCAAATCATCCATAACTGAATGACACTTAGAAAGCACTCAATACTTGTTGGCGATGACAATCACCATCTCTAGATATCCGTTCTACTTCTATTCTAGTCCTCCAGAGTTTAAGCTTCATAAAACTTATATCCTTGTGTGTTTCTCCATTGGTACATTTTCAGTATCTAGAATAATGTCTGAGACCTTACAGGCTACCAATAAATATTAAAGAGTGCATTCTTTTTCTTTTCTTTTCTTTTTTTTTTTGATTTGAGGTCTCACTCTATCAACCAGGCTGGTATGCAGTGGCACAATCACAGCTCACCACAGCCTTAACCTTCTGGGTCAAGATAATCCTTCTGCCTTGTCCTCCTGAGTAGCTGGGACTCCAGGCATTGGACAGCTTATTCGACAAGAGTATGAGCCATGATCATCAATCACATAGTAAACTGAAAATAGTGCTTCAAAATATTTTTTGTGTGGTGGAATGTAACTCTGAAGTCAAGGACAAAAGAAAGGAGGGAGCAAGGAGTCCAAATAAGTCAGAAACATTTTGTGCTGTGAAGTTGGGAGTGGACTGATGTACAACTGTTTCTCAGAATGTTGGGCAGTTCCTGCTTGCAGCAAGGAGGAGAAACTCTAGAACACCTCACAGGACTCCTATTAGACTTTGTGATTCTCTGTGCTTATCACATGTTTGGCTAAGCTTTGAAGTACAATCCACAGTCATTTCTTTAAAGAAACAAAGTCCCAAGGCCCTTAAGGATCCTGTTTCACTGTTTAAAGAAAAGCTAAAAGCATTATAAGAGGTAGTTGGTAAGCAGAAAAAAAATTCAACCAGGCATCATTTTGTAGTGTGATGTCTAGTAGAAAAACTCATGCCCAATTACTTTGAGTAATCATGCATAATACTAATTAAGAACACTGAAAAACAAAATCAAGACAAAGCTGTCTTTACCCATGTGGAACTTATTAGGCATGTGACTTTGAGCAGGTCACTCACCTGCTGTGAGCCTTGGCATCTCCACCTATAAAATGAAAAAGTTGGTCTGGATAACTCCTAAGTTTCCTTTCTGGTCTATCTATTCTAACACTCTGCCCAATCTTAAAATGACAGCTGCTTCAGTCTGCTAGTTCAGTCAGATTTTTAGGACTAGAAGTAGCAAGGCAGATAATCTAAATCCACCCTTTCCATTTAGAGCTGAAGAAACCAGTAGCCTGGGAGATGATGTGACTCAGGAAAAAGCATACCACCAAGATAAGAATGCATATCAATCACCATGGCAGCCAAAATTGCTGGCTTCCATCCAACCAGCAAGTACACAGGATCTTGAGGGAAACGTGGATTTAGGGAAAACTATGCTGTGTTCTGTGATCCTATCTCCTTTGCCAACAATACTTGACAGTAGCAGAGTGGAGGGTGGTTGATGGCAGGGAAATAAGGGTCCCTTGGTAAGTCTATGAGAGTATTTGGAAACAGATGAGTATAGGAAAGTGTGGGTTGAAAATATATGTGGATTTCAGCTTGTCCTTGGTACCTGTTGGTAGAGTCACCAGCTATCAATCTACTGCCACCTCAGCGAACTAGGCTCCCTGGGTGTGAAACTTGGGTTTGCTGTCCCAGTTTGCTTTACTATTCCCACAAAGCAGGCAACACAGGATGCCTCAGCTCAGCAGATCCTTGAGTGTTCAACATCATTTCATTGTAACATGGAGGGGGAGAGGACATCAATTCTCAGCAGGGCTACTCTCTTTGTGGACTTTGCATCTTCTCCCCATGTCTGCGTGGGTTTTCTCCCAGTTCTCCAATTTTCTCTCACATTCCCAAGATGTGCATGTTAGGTAAACCAGCGGTGTCTACATGGTCTCAGTCTGAGTGAGCATGGGTGTGTGATCCCTGGATAGGATGGCATCCTATCCAGGGTTGGGTCCCACTTTGTGGTCTTAATAGGGTCCAGCCACCCTCAACCCTAAACTGGAATAAGCAGGTTAGAAAATGAATAAATACAAATTATTGTAAAGATTCATAGTAAAGATTGGGCAGAGTGACAGAATAGGTAGGCCAGAAAGGAATATATGATAATCATACAAATGCATGAAAAGAAATGATGTGTTTACAACCAAAATAAAAGAAAATAAATGATGTGGATGAAAGTGCTCAGCGAGCCTGCTATATTTGGTACTGCTTGCTTTTAACTGTTGGTGGTAGGAGGCGCTCCTTATAATTTTCACTTCACAAACATTTCTTTCTTTCTTTTTTTTTTGAGTCAGAGTCTCACCCTGTCACCCAGACTGGAGTGCAGTGGCCGCTCCCGGCCACTGCAGCCTCGACCTGCTGGGCTCCAGCGATCCTTCCGCCTCAGCCTTCCAAGTAGCTGGAACTACAGGTGCGCGCTACCACACCTGGCTAATTTTTGATTTATTGTAGAGATGAGGTCTCACCAAGTTGCCGAGGTGGGTCTCGAACCCGCTGGCTCAGGCAATCCACTCACCTCAGCCTCCCAAAGCGCGGGATTACAGGCTGAGCCACCGAGCCCGGCTAACATTTATTTCTTGATTTAAACCCATCACCACGCCAACTGTCATCACTCACTGATTCACCAAAATTAGGTAATTATCTTGTTTTTATTCATTCACCAAAATTAGATAATTATCTTGTTTTTATTCATCTGTCTTAAATGTATGCATAGCTCACATTTATTTCAATGTTTAATATTACAAGTATTTTGGGTCTCTATTTAGAAGTTTGGTGATTTTTTTTTAATAACCAGAAATATGTCATAGGAACTTAACTCTTGTATATATCAATTGTCCTCCGTAAAATTAATTTTGCTATGTCATTTCATTTAAAGTCAAAGTTTCCAAGAACCTATCAATGACACCAAGTAAGGACTTGCTGTATTTCATTACCTAAGCTGGC